CAGATCCAGGATGTTCCTTTTTTTTAATTGACCTTCTTTTAACATTCAACAACTCTCTTGTCAAACATAACGCTTCTGTGAGGTAGCTTAAACAATCAAGTAATAAATAACATAAATTCAGCAGTAAATATAAAAAGAATCTAAAAAAAAAAATATATATAGCACCTCAACTTAAAGCACCCGGCAGGCAATCACAAGCTGGAAAATATCTATTTGCGATTTTATTACTTTTTTTGACAGAATTTACGATTTCAAGCTTTATCTCTATAATGGTGTGGCAACAGTTCTGCGGCAGCTCTTACTAATGTCCAGGGGCCTCTTGTATCAATGCTGCGTACACACAAAAACCTTTCGTACACCAGATTTCACGTTCACGTTTGGATTTACTAATGATGAAATTAACGTGAGAATGTGCGTTGGTCTGCGCCAACTTCATGTCTGGTGTACGTGTATTTGTGTGTTTGTTTTATTTCCATTGGCGACTCCTAGAGGCAATTATGTTAATTGCACACTACAAAGTTTCACAATAACGCATGTGAAAATATTTTGCTATTAATTTATAATTGATAAAATGGGTTAATTGACACAATATTTATTTATTTATTTTTTTACCAATTATGTGATTTAGAACATATTAAAGCATTTGCAAATGTATACGACCCTTAGTCTATGGCAATGGCAGTGTTGGGCTTATTAGAGAACATTGTCATCGGTCGAATCCGAAAGCTCCAAGGTGGCAGGGTGCGTGATGGGTTGCTTTTTGGTGAGTGATGTATTTAGCTGGATATTATTTCAGCTAAGATTTTTTTTTACTAAATTTTTTATTGAGCTTAATTATTTTTACTGCATATTAGGAGACCAAAATTATCAATTAAAGATGTGGCTGTTAACAACCAACAAACTGACCAAGAGCGGAAATACAATGATGCCCATTCTCACACTCGTCAGTTGCAGAGCGGGCGATTGACCTGCTGAAATGCTGGTGGCGCTGCCTTGAGAGCAGAGGGGTGCTGCTATACCGCCCTAACAAAGTGTGTAAAAGTGTAATACATCTGTGTCTTCCACAGACATGGATACTACTCCAGACAGTAAAGTGTTGCCCACAATTGAGGCAACTCTCTCCTCAAAGAGTGTTAGTTTCCCTGCCTGTTCGGTCTACACTTTGACGGTGCGTCGCTGTTCTCCTCTTAAATTGCACCTTTACATCGGTCCATTTCTTTCTGACCCCTCTGCGTTAACCGCGTCAGCTAAACTATCCCACTCTATTTTTTTCTTTTGTTAATAATTTCGGAGGACAAACTTGCAAATAACACAGTTTTTCTCTGGTCTACATTACCTCCGATAGGAGCACCTCCAATTCGGATGTTCAAAAAGAAAATGTGTGGGATTCTGCATTCGCAGTGTTTCATACATCTGAATTTTTTACTGCATACGCACACGTACAGCTTTGTCCGTACACAATGTTTTAGTATTAATTCAAGGCAAGTCTTTGTACATAAGGGCCCTGGTTTAGTTTGTTGTCTGTGACCAAAAGATTCCCATATTACTTACATGCTGATTTTCTTCGATATTAATTTGCTTATTAATGCCCCTGAAGTGACTGCTTTTATTCTAGCCGAAATAATACAAATAAGACTTTCTCCAGAAGAAAAATATTATCAGACATACTGTAAAAATTTCTTTGCTCTGTTAAATATCATTTGGGGAATATAAAAAAAAGAAAAAAATTAATATCTAATAATAATGATAATAATAATAATAATAATAATAATAATAAACTGTTCAAATATGCTTGTAAATGATAGTGTACATATATTATTTTTCATTTGTATTTACTCTTATGCAAGTATATATTTAAAAAAAAATTGTAGGATAAAGAATACAAAAAAGACTGTGAAAGGATGATATAAAAAATAGACATAAAATGTAGTATTATAATACATGAGGGGAAATAATAAACAATTATTTTCCCACTCAAAGTATTATATAATATAATTGCGTAATATATTCTTTGCAGATGTTTTTCATCTAAATTAATTTACAGTACTCTTAATTGCATGTGAAGTCCACCTGGAGCTGCCTGAGGTTAAGTACTCTACATGTGGATATTAGTGTTATTGGGTTCACCCACTAACACACCTGATATTGTCTATGATTTTTGCATTAGCAGCCAAAGAGCTTTAATCACCCGGCTGCTGCTGCTGCTGCACCATTAAGGTCATGTTTCTGGCCCTGGTCTGGAATATGCTTGCACATCTGTGGTCAGGTGGATTGATGCTGCAAAAACCCTTAGCTGGGAGATGAAGAGGCCAGGCTGCTGAACTGTAACCTGACACCTGATTGAGGACTCGCTCAGTGTGTTCTCTGTTACAGGCCATTAACCACTGGAAAGTTTTTTTTTCCAGGCAGCCTCTTTTGACTTATATAAAGTGAGCCGGGATGGATTCTTTATAGCAAAGCAGATGAGGGAGGGTGACTGAACATAAGCTGCTGGTTTGGTCGTGAGAACTGATACAGTCATGTTGTTTGTGTTTATTTCTGTTTTTCTCTCTCTGATTTAGTTTTCAGAGGAGCACATGCACTATCTGTATTCAGATTTTGATCATTTATCTTAAGCCAGGGATGTCCAAACTCGGTCCTGGAGGGCCGGTGCCCTGCACAGTTTAGCTCCAACTTAACACACCTGGTTGGATTTTTTTAGTATACCTAGAAAGAGCTTGATTAGCTGGTTCAGGTGTGTTTAATTGGGGTTGGACCTAAAATATGCTGAGCACCGGCCCTCCAGGACTGAGTTTGGACACCCCTGTCTTAAGCTAAGTGAGCAAATGGCATATGTGAGTTTTGTATTAAAGGAATAGTACAACTAAAAACGAAAATATTATGTTATGATGATGTTATGAGATATGATTTACAAAATCACACTGGCCTTCCGAAAATGTTGGTGATTTATTGTTTTTTTATTAATAGAAGTAAAAAAAAAAGTTTTTAGCTGAAACTGTGGTCCTTGATGATTCCTAAAATGCAAGTCTGCAGTTACAGGAAAGAAATATGTGCAGGCAAGTCTAAATTATTACCCGTTGCAACAATATTTTGTCTCTTTTGAACAATATTTGAAACATTGTTACCTTTATTAAACAGCCTCAACAAATCTTTCTTACTAGGATGATCAATTAGTTTCATAAAGTTAGAATGTTTTCAGAAGCCGATATTAAAGGTGCAGTAGGTTATCGGCTAAAATGCTATCTGTTAGTATTATTTATTTTCACCCCGGCCGTCCAAAGTCAGGCCTCCAGAAACACAAACACGCACCTTAAAGTTGACTGTAGACAACCCACGAGATCATGTCATTCGCCAGTTAGAAAACTTTACAGTACTTTAAAATACTACAATTCTGAATGAAAACTATATTATATCTAGCATGTTTTCAGTTGTGTAGCAAACAAAAATGGTCATAATGTGCAATATTTTGTGCTTGGTGGTTGGCCAGCGGCGTGCAGGAATTACACTTATTACTAAGCCATACTTGCTATTTCAGAGCAAATATTCAAAGTAGCATGGTAAACAATATAGGGAGCACAGGTTTATTGTTAAAAAATGAACCAATGTGAATATAAACCATCTACACCTCAGTAAAGCAGGCTAGGCAGAATAGTGCTATTTATTTGTGTTTCGTTGTTAAACTAAATAAAAACCTACATTATCAATGCTGTAAAAGGTCTCTTATGAAATAGAAAATAGTCACATCAATCTTTCACTGGAAGATTTCAGTTGCTGAACAAATCTTCTGTCCATATAACCCATACATAAATCGACAAAAGCCATATTAGCTTTGTCTGACTAAAATATTTTTAAAACATAACATTACCTGTCTAAAAGAAATACTTTAGCCATGGTGTCATCTTTTCTCCAGCGTGCTAAAGGAACTCCAATATTGATTCAGGATTTTAAAAAGTTTTGATTCAGCATTTGTTTTTATCGCTGTCTCTCTCTTTTGTGTGTACTTGAATGTGTAGATCTGCGTGATTGGGTGCGCAGATGTAAAAGTCTACATTTGTTGACAGACAGTTTGGGCTATTTATCAGAATTATGGGAATTCTCTGCCCGACAAATTTCAATTGGACAAACAGTTTTAAGTCTTATGTTTTACCCAGAATATAAAAATACATATTAATATATTGAGATCATTTACTTTAATCATTAATATTGGAATGTGAAGAGACTTTCAACCAACACAACAAAACATGTTTCTGAAGGCAATCACCTACTGCTGCTTTAATATTGGTTTTCCTATATGTTTTTAACTCTACTCTCAAAGTGCTTATCGCTATTGACTTTCTCTTTATGAATTATTAAGATCCACAGTTTTAGTGAAAATCTGAAGAAAAAAAATCACCTAGATTTTGATTCCTTGGGTATTTTTCCTATTTATTTTGTTTTGTTTATAAAAGACAGGAATGCTTGTATTTGTCAAGAATACATAAAATTTATAACCTATTTCTTTTGTAGGCTCACACGGAATCTGCGCGTGCAGATTTCTGCAGATTTTTAACCCATAATTGAGTCAATGCATTTACTTGTGTAAATGTGTGTAAATGTATATTTATTCAGTTTAAATCAATTTCACTAATATTATTGTGATATAATATCATTAATATTTAAATGTTGAAAGGATTTATTTTCAATACAGTTTGTAAAGTAATATTCTCTGTCTTTTAGTAGCGATATTGTACTTTGTTTACCAAATAAGTGGATCTAATTGAATTTGCATTGTAAACATGAAATAAAAGTTTTAAAGAAAAACTATTGTTTTTTTTAAATTCATGTATTAAGTTTGTAGTTATGATACTCCTAAAATGATGCCGCATAAATCCTCAGATTTTTTTAAAGAAAATTCTCAGCAGAAATAGACAGATTCTGTCTCAGTTCTATGCAATCACATATGCATGGCTAAATCTCACTGTTGCTTTGTTCTAATGCCTGGTCTATTTCTTGTCTTTCAGGAGCCAATCAAATCAAGAGCGCCTCAACTCCATTTGGAGTATAGATTTTATAAACAGCTGGGAAATTCAGGTAAGACCCACATCCTTTCTAGAATCATGTGTTTTATGTTTTGTGAAAAGTCGCCACCTCCTCATCCTGTGTGAGAGTGATCATGCTTCAGTTGTGTGCTGAGAATCATGGGGGCGGTGAGCTTCGGCCTTTTGATGTGGCTGCTTCACTTATCGGCAGCAAATGATGGTGAAAAAGAGGGTCGGATTGAATTTGGGATGGTGGGGGTTATAAGATGAGAATTATCCAGTTTGAAGGCCACTGTTAGACAGTGTTGTCTTTTTATTTTATTTATTTGGGCTTATAATGACCCAGTTTGTCTCCCTCACAGATTAAAATAGTTGTTTGCTCTATGACTGAGGTTATAATGGATTAAATCTCAGAGCTGTGTGATTGGAGCGCAACACCCGGCCATTTTGATTGTAATTACCATACATGTTGCGAAGCCAGAAGGCTGAACTTTGATCCTGTTAAGCCTTACAATGAAAAGGATGAGCAGCTTGTACAAATCCTTGATACATCCATCTATTTGATCGCTGAACCGGAAGGTTGACTGACATGAAGTGCTGCTCTTATTCACATCGACTCATAGCCACCCTGCAATGCAAAGATCTCATTCAGTGAACGGCCGTCTCCAGAGCGGGGATCTGATCCCCTGCCAGCTCACCGGAGCCACTGCTGCCGCCCCTGCAACATTAATAGCCAGTGAAAGTGCAGGCGTGCAGGGCAGGCCTGCTATATTTATATCTACGCCACTCCTCGTGGCTGGGTTGCCATTATCGAATGTCCAGCACGTGACTGATTCCTTTCGAGAAGAAAGCCATATTTTAAGCAGTACACAAAGAGAAAACAAACAATGCTGCTGTCGTGTTTAGTTTTCTATCGTTTTTTTTTTTATCTTTCATGAAGCTGAAGGAAGTGTGAACATTTATCTCTTGTTTTTTTTTTACTTTATTATTGTCTGTTTTAAAGGAATACTTCAACAAAATAAATAATCGTCATAACCACAGGAACCAATTGCACGTTTTTAAATGCTTAATAATTCTAAACAACGTGTGTTAAAACAAACAACATCAACTATGATGTTTATCAATAATCAGTTTTAGCTTTCTGCAAAACCTTAGCCAAGCAACTGGAGCCAGCCTGTGAATCAGAAGATTACACACTTTTTATGGTGCGTTTACGATGTGCCAAATATGCTGCTCATGCATTGATAATAATAGGAATAGTGCATTTACTGTGATGTCAAGTCATGGAGAGTGAAACTCAAACACTCAGCCATTATGTTTAGTAGGGAGTAAAAATATATCTGTGCTGTACATATTCTGAGCCTCTAACTCCAACAATTTATTAACCGAAGACTAACAGCAGACTTTACTTAGTCGTCCTAGTGTGAAATTGCAAGTGATTTACTTGGGTTGTTATGGATTGCTTTCTTTTGTGCTCTCTTTATCGGTGGCAATGCCAATGAAGATCTGCGAATGACCAAGTGATTGTCATGAGATGTACATAGTGACTTGTAATACAATGTTAGTTGCCATCCACCGGTGGTGTAGAGTAATACAATAAACAACTTACAGGAGCTGAGAAGTTTCTCTCTGGATTTCTACTTTATTAAGTTGTGTAAATAATGTGTATTTTTACTTGAGTACATCTTAGTGCTGTACTTTTACTGCACTATTTTCAACCTGCAGTTCCTACTTTTTTATTTGTTTACAGTGATTAAGTGGAATATTCAGTCCCATGGATTCCGTCTAATCAAATCGTGCATACAAAAATTATACCAGACAGACCTACCTCAAAACATGGGTGCTTGTAAATACAACAAACATATACAGTGTTGAATCATTAAAAGTATCCCAAGAGCATGCGTTATTGACACGCAATGACTGCAAGACTGAGATTAGACTGCATTACACTGAGAAGATGAACGATGCCTATTGTACGATGGCTAAATTTGCAAAATGGTCTTAAACAAAAACTAAAGTCACTACAGAATGTTACGTTTTCAAATACATACTCAAATTAGATGTATTCTATTAGTGCTGAAAGAGCTAGGTTTTCAACTTCTGGATATTTGTAACTTGCTAGTCAACATTGACATCGTCAGCTAATTTTTTTCCCCATTAGGTACTCAGTAGAGATGCTCAGATTGATTGGTCGGAGATCGATATTGGCCAGTAATCACATTTATTGACTCTATCGGTAGTCTACAATCTGGCTGATCTTATAAACTGATCGCAGGTGTTTGAGTTTACAAGCAGAGAAAGACACACATACGCACCTTGGTTATACAGTATAGCAGCACTACAACATGTGCGGAGGTAAATAATGTGTGAGTGCGTAAGCGATCGCTGCACATGCGTCACAGCAGCTAAAATATACACAGATGTGATGCGATCTCTGTTTATACAGTTTATTGGTGCAACTCCTGCGAGTGATGGTCTCTTTGTTGCAACCATTGTATATCCAGTGTTTTGAGCTGCTGTGATGCAAGCGGAGCAATCAGCCCTCATCTTGTGTCCAACAGTATGACCTCTGCCGAAGCTCTGTGAGTCTCCCGCATATTATCTATGATTTTCTCTAAAGCTGCTTCTGTCCATACTAAATGTTTATAAGAGACATGTTTAAGATTATATGCGGTAATAATAATGTATAGGGTTACATGCAGCATCCTTAGTTTATTATCTTATGTAAGGAGAGATCTCCACTTATGTAGCATACTTTTAGGGAAAATGTGCTTTATGCAATGGCAAAGTTACATAAAGCTTGAAGCATCAGAATCGGTACTCGGTATCGACCAATCACCAAGACAAAAAATAGGTACTCTGTATTTGTTGCAAATATCCTGATCAGCGCATCCCTAGTACTGAGATTTCACATGTAAACACATAATACGCATTCTGAAATCTGCTTCCTGTTGTTTTCTTATACTTAAATTGCATGTTAAGGTAATGTGTTTTCACATTTATAGTCCTTGAATGGTAAATAATGGAACTTGCACATACAAACAAAGTGGCACTAATGTAAGCTAGATTTTTAATTGGCAAGATAAGGCAGAATCATTTTACAACATTGTCCTCTCTACTTTTCAGTCCTTTTAGACTTTTAGTAATTGTATTATACTTTGAGTAGTATTTAGAACAGACACTTACACTCTACTTGCACTACATATTTTAGCAAGTAACGGTACTTGAGTACGTTTTTTCAGTACTCTTTTCACCACTGGTATCCACATACAATTGAATTTTTAGCCTCCCTTTGATTTTTTTTTCTTTCATTTTTTTTTTATATTTCTAAAAAAATGGCTTAGATTGGCTAATAATTTTGACCTTAAAATGGTTTTTTAAAAAATTAAAAACTGCTTTTATTCAAGACTTTCTCCAGAAGGAAAAATATTGTCAGACATGCTGTGAAAATTTCCTTGCTCTGTTCATTTGGGAAATATATAAAATAAATTATCAAAGAGGGGCAAATAATTCTATATTAAAGGGGCTGTATTAAATAGAAATTATTGAATTGTTGATGGTTCTCCCTGCATTTTTTCCCTTCTTTTTTTAATATTTTCCAAATGACGTTTAACAGCACAAGAACATTTCCACAGTATGTCCGATAATATTTTTTCTTCTGGTGAAAGTTGTATTTGTTTTATTTAAGCTAGAATAAAAGCAGTTTTTAATTTTTTAAAAACCATTTAAGGTCAAAATTATTAGCCCCTTGAAGCTATATTTTTTTCGATAGTCTACAGAACAACACATCGTTATACAATAACTTGCCTAAATACCTTAAAGATAAAATAAATTAGTTATTATAAATGAGTTATTAAAACTATTATGTTTAGAAATGTTGAAAAAATCTTCTCTCCGTTAAACAGAAATTGGGAAAAAAATAAACAGAAGGGCTGATGATTCTGATTTCAATTTATTGAAGAGTTATTTTATTCGTCGAGCTGTGATAGTGATATAGTTTAACAAAAAAAGAGGAAATTTGAACACACGTAAAAACAAATGGTTGCAGGATCACTGAAAGTACCCTGAAAGTCAAACCTTGACCTTTAAATACAACTTCCCTTTTCTTTGTCTGGTATACAAATGGTCATGTCTTGCGGTTCAGAGAGTGCATCTTGAAAGTTGATGTACTTGGATTTTCCAGACCGCTTTCCTGTTCGTCCTATATAGTTCTTATTTTGAAATATAATCGTAAGTTACTCAACCTCTTCAACGTGACACTGGCTCTTACGCAACCTTACCTTCTGGTAATGCGTATCCATCACTTCAAAGTGAACATCGCTTTCCAAACACGCCAGCGGGGGCTCCAGTGATTCACAGTTGTGAAATCTAGATCTAAATGTTTCATGAAGCCTAAAAGGCGACAACCAAACCAGAGCCTCCAGCTTTCCCAGCAGAGAATCCTTTGAGAGGATCTGCCATTGTGAGACTCATCTTAAGCCACCGGAGAACCTCTGCTCCTTAAACCTGCAGCTAAAGAGGAGTGTTAATTCTCTACCATGCTGGAAAAAGAGCCCAGGTCATGTTAGGATACCTCTTTGGTGTATTTCCACACCTTCTCAGCACAATTTTGGGCCCATATTTTAATGCAACATTGTTGATGTGATCACAAATACAAATCTTTGCTTTGCCCATCAGCCTTAAATGTTTTGCACTTTAAATGTCATAAAGGCTGTCAATTATTTAAAGCATGCGCCATATAAAAGGGCAACAAACTGAGAAAATGCTGGTGCCGATCGCTGCTAAAATAGCTCGTGTTTAAATGTTTAATTGTTATTGTGCTTTTGATTAAAGCTCTCTGGTTATTTTTAGCATGGTGTGACTTGGTTAGTGGCTTTTCAATCGTTGTGTTCAATCTCTGACATTTAGGGGGGGGGGGGGCTCATGGCTCTCTTTCTCTCTGCAGTGTAAGCTGAGGATGTTTTATGCAGCAGGGTGGATAACGCAAGCCCTCTCATCTCCTGAATCACACTGGGAACGATCACGTTTCAGCCTCTGATTCTTCTCTACTGT